AGGGTAAAACATCTTTAAGCAGCCTAGTCGGGATGGGGTCTAAGAGGCAGGTTGATGGTTTAGATGAAGAAATTATTGAAGTTAGTTGGTGAGGGAAGCAAAACAGTCTAAACATATATCTGGTTCTACAGCTGTTTCTAAGGTTCCTGAGTTAAGAGATAAGTCGGTGCCAGTTGAGGGCAGGTCTTGGTGAATTTTGTTTCTAATAGTTCATAGTATCATTAAAGAAGCTCATGAAGTCGTAACTACTGAGAGCTATGGGAATACTTGGCTCAATAGAGCTGTGACTCTCGGTCAGCCTGGCTACAGTGCTGAAAAGAAACCTGGGGTTGTTCCTATTTTCCTCTATTAATGACGAGTAGTACGCTGCTCTGGCATTACGGAGGGCCTTCCTATAAATAAGACTTTAAGACTATCTTACCAAATTGAATGAGAATTTTCCAGTTTGGTGGAACGCCAATTCCTCTCAAGTTTCCGCGATATTTGCTTTAATTTGCGAGTTTCAGTATTATACCATGGAGCTAATCGTCTTTGTTTTAGTATTTTCTTTTTTAGAGGGGCTACAGAGTCCAGTGTCATTCGCAGCGAGCCTGCAGCACTATCAACAAGATGATCGATTTGGGAGGGACTGAAATTAGCATAGGAGTCCTCCGTTACTTTGAGACTTGATAATGAATTTAGAGCTGATGGAATGGCATCCTTAAATTTAGCTACAGCACTATCAGACAGACATCTTGTATAGAAATTTCTGCCCAATGGCGTGTAGTTCAGCAATACAAACTCAAAAGTTATCAAACAGGTCAGATAAAGAGGGATTCTGTGGGAACACTATTAAATGTTCAATTTCAATACCATACACCAAACAAGGTCGAGGGTGTGGTTAAAACAGTGAGTCGGTTCATGAACACTCTGAGAGAAGCCAATGGAATCTAACAGAGATAAACGCAGTACTGAAGCTGCCATTCTCAACGTCCACATGAATATTAAAATCCCCTACAATAATAACTTTGTTCGTTTTAAGGACTAAAGTTGACAAAAACTCTGCAAATTCAGATAAGAATTCAGAGTACGGACCAGGTGCTCGGTACACTATAGCAAAAAGAATTGGTTGCAATGATTTCCATCTTGGGTGAGAAAGACTAAGAACTAAGGCTTTCCAATGAGTCATAATTTAGTTTAGGTCTAGAGCTGAATAGTAGGCTAGAGTCGAAGATAGCTGCAACTCCACCTCCTCGGCCTGTGCCTCGAGGAATGTGAGTATTAATATGACTGGGAGGGGCGGATTCATTTAGGCTAACATATTCTCCATCACCCAGCCAGGTTTCAGTAAGACAAAATAAATCAATATCATAATCTGATATTAGTTCATTTACTAGTACACCTTTAGAAGAGAGAGATCTGATGTTTAAGAGTCCAAATTTAATTTTCCTATTCGTTTGCACTATTGCCCTTGTGGTTTTAATTTTTATGAGGTTTTCATGCACAGCTCCTCTTCTGTTTACCTTTGATTTAAATAATTTCAATGGTCGGGGGTCAGACACCGTCACTATAGGATTTTCACTAAGTAACTCCTGGAATGGAGGAGCAGAGAAGTGTGTTAGACTGCGACTCTGCGTAGGGTTTTGGGTGGGTAACTGCTGAATTAGAAGGGCAGAGAAGTGTGTTAGACTGCGACTCTGCCTCCTGGTCTCAACTCTGGGTTGTCATGGATTTGGTCCACTAATAAACTTGGCCAGATTTCTAGAAATGAGAGCTGCTCCTTCCCAAGTGGGATGGATGCCGTCTCTCCGGATCAGACCAGGTCTTCCCCAGAAAGTCTGCCAATGATCTACAAAGCCCACATCGTTTGCTGGACGCCACCTCGACAACCAGCGGCGGAATGACGACATGCGGCTATACATGTCATCCCTGGTCAGATTTGGCAGGGGTCCATAGAAAACTATGGTGTCCGACATTGTTTTTGCATATGTACACACACCGACTCAACATTAATCTTAGTGACCTCCGATTGACGTAACCGGGAGTCATTACCGCCGACGTGAATAACAATCTTACTGTATTTACGTTTATCCTTAGCCAGCAGTTTCAAATAAGACTCAATGTCGCCCGCTCTGGCCCCAGGGATGCACTTAACTATGGCCACTGGCTTCGCTAACTTAATGTTTCTCAAAATGGAGCTGCCAATGATCTGTTCAGCCCGAGATGAGGGAATCTCTGGGTTTTTGGTTTCAGAGAGCGAGATCAGATAAACAACTTACACTGTGAACCTAACCTGCTCGGGAGGAGGTTTACTTCAACAAACGCTGAGTTTCTCTCTGACTCCTCCCCTCCTGCGGAGCTTGTAAGCGGCTGTCCTCATTCAGACGGTCAATATCAAAGCACATATTGGAACACAGTTACGTCTTTAGAAACATCGAAATCATGGATAAATAGGCTGTTTTGGGGTTTTTTTACCCAAACATGATCTTGAACATGACGCTTTTATGATCAATCAGTCATTGATGTATGAACAGAGAGTTATCTTTGGACATCGTAAATTTATCCTCAGCACAGAATAAAATCTATAAACTACACTGTCCTTTATAACACAGTGACTCTGTGGACATTAAGGCAAAACATTTACTGTGCGCTACAGTGCTGCAGTTTAAAGTAATCCGTACAAAATTGATCAATGAACAGTAACCTTTCATATTGTAGTCGCACAGATTGAACATTCCTATCGTAGTTATCAGCTCAATATGATGTGAATATTTCTGAGTGAGGATGACTGAGGTGCAGCTGAAACAAATAAATGTAGTATAAAAGTGAATTTTTCATTATCTGCTGATAGTCTGAATGTGTTTTGACAGCATTTCATAAAATACGAAATGAGCAAGATTTTATTAAATCTTAAATTAAAACAGACGTCTAAAACTTCAGTCAGTTTGAACCTAGACACATTACAAAAAAATCATTAATAGGCCTACTGAGTCAGCCTGTCACTTTACAATCACAGGTCCATGAGCAGCCTAAACTACAGATTACAATCGATTAATAATTTCATCTTCAGTTATTGCCACCGGCATTTAGTCCCGTCAGGTTCCAGCTGAATAATCAGGCCTGTAGCTATTTAAAATGAATAACCAGAGAATTCCAGCACTTTATCAATCATTAAGGAAATTCCAGTCTGGTAAATGATGAATGAGCAACGCTGTATAAAATGTAATATTGTTAACATATCGATCTTCCACTCCTGTGTTTTAGAGCCAATTCGTATTTCTAGCTCCACCCGATTGTATTATATATATATATAATATTTACAAAATATGACACTGATTACTGAGTTGACACTTACATTACATACATATATTAGCATTTGTTCTGGAGAGTGGCGGAGACACAGATTTAATCAGTTTTTGTTTAATTTTGGAAGGAAACGGGGCTGTTCCCATAACGTAACTCTCAGGATCGCTGGGTGCACAAAGCAGGGGAGAGCCCAAACGCATGACACTGAGAGCTGAGATTGAGTTCCAGGTTTTATTTATCCCAAACACGACAACAGGCATGAACAGAACTCACGAGTACAGGAACTGGTACATCCAAAAGGTAGCAGGTAACAACACGACATCCGACCGGACAGGGAATGAACAGAAACACCAGACATTTATACACAGTGATTAACGAGCAGGGTGGCAGCAACACAGGTGACTAGGATCAGGGTTAATGAGGCAGAGACACAGAAGGGAAAACAGAGACTAGCAGGCAGGCAGATTACTGAGGGGGGGGGAGACAAAATAATAAAAGACAAGTTACTCAACACTAAACATCAGAGTAATATAAACAAGCGGACAGATCACAACAAGGAACACAGACAGAAGCTAAGACTTGAACAGAACTCAGGACAGACATGGGCAAAACACAGAAGTACACAGACCAGGAGTAAACACTTAAGACATGAACTAAGGCACAGGACTAGGAACACAGACATGGAACAAAAACCCAGACTCCGCAACAAGACACACAGACTGAAACCCAGACACGCTCAGGACAGGATCGTGACAGTAACGTTACACATTTACAGCAGCGACTTAATTTGCAGCAATTTTCGGTAAATATTAATGCATAATGTGCATTGATTACGATGTTGACTACACTTATAGTTAGTGTATTCTATCCTGGGAGTGATGGACAGACAGTGTTCACAGTGTGGTCTGTTGAAATGTAACTAGAGAGATAGTTACTGAATGAATTAACTACATTTCTAAATACGATCCATAACATTACTGTTAACTGGGGATTCATTTCAGTATTGCTAATGTACCATTTCACCCTTCCCCAAACAGAGGCTAAACTATTAACCAGGACACAGACACATTTTGACTGATCAATCCACACCACCTGCTGCCTGGGAGAGACCTTGCTGATGCAGTAGTAGTAGTGGCTACTGTGCTTTCTCTTGCCATGGTGTATCAGTATGACTGACAGTCTTCTCTTACCTTGTAAACTGAGTCAGGCTGTTTCACTTAATCATCCTGTTTCCACCTACATATTGAATGTATGATCATTAGCACTTGTTTTGTTTGTTTCATCACCTGATGATATGCCTTACAAAATCCACCAAACTTAATTTTTTCTTCTGTCCATTCACTTTGTATTTTGTTTTATAACTAATAACATGTCCATTTTTTACTTACTGTATACTGTGTGTATTGACAAATTGTATTTTGATGCTTTGGAAACACTGTGCTTAAAACCTTCATGCCAATGAAATTTCATTTCATTTTTTTGTTTAATATTGGAGGGAAAGGGGGGGGGCTGCTCCCATAAGATATAATAAATTACAGTATGGATATATTTTTTCTCATGCTTCTATTGTCATAATTACTGACATTCTCATGTTATGTTAAGACACATTCACATACACATGCACAACAAGTAAATATCAATGAATGCCAGGAGCTGTTTAGTTTAAGTCAAGAAAGAAGTTTTGGTAAACAGTGCAAAATATACAAGGCAACCAATTGCATTCAACAATACATTTTATTATATTTTATATCCAGGTAGGTAAGTTTTCCTTGAATGTGAGGTCTTCAAGGAAACACTTTTTTAATTCTCACATCCTGCATGACCAGACAGGAGGCTATATTTCATGCCAGATGTCCCACATCTGGTTCAGAACTTGAAGAGTGTCCTGGTTGGTGGACAGACATTTCTGCAAGCTTGGTCATCGCTCCACTCTCCGCTCAAAATCCGTCCTGCTGAAAATAAACAAAACAACAACACACACATAATGCAAATTAAATCTCAGCTGTTTGACAGCTGGAAATTAGGCTTACTTTATCTAGGTATAGATATATCAGGTGTTCATATACCTGAAACAAACGCCTATTCATACATTCCATGTGCTACTTTCATCATAATTCTGAATCACTACAGTATCATGTTTTTTACCTTTATTAGTCACAGGGAGCCATTAACATGAGGAGTTGGGTTCAAAATAAATCATTTTATTCTATCTAACAGATGTCCAAAATATGACCTCGGTCAACATATGCCACTGATCTTATCACCCGTCACCGATGCACTGTCTAACAAACACTGTGTGTAATGACTGAATTAACCAAGGAACAACCTCGCTAGATACAAGTTAGCCAAGTTATCTAGCTGAGATAGCTAACTTACCGTTCATCGTAATCACGTGTAACGTTACTACTACAGCGGCAACTAAGTGCTGCTATACTGAGTTACAACAAAATAACCAAAGATAAACGATGTATGCTAACTAACTAATAACTTTACATTTGAGGTAAATATTGGCAAACTGACAACATGGTATGGTAACGTTAGCTGGTTAAGTGTTAACAGTTAATATCTTCCGATAAACCTTGACTAAAGCTGGCGACATAAAATACCACTATTGACTAGATTCATGAGAGGACAGCTAATGAGTTAAAATGTCAACAAATGCAGTAATTTCATCAACTTACCAGGCAAACACTGAAATGAACGGGGCTCAGCGCTGGAACTATCCAGTGTTTGGAACTATCGGCTGCCCCATGACGCGCGTTACTTCCGCATTCCACAGTTCCAACAGAAGTCAATGGGAGTGTCGTAACTCTCTTATTTAACGGCCCTGGGTAACCCTATGTTACTATATTACCCCCAATCTGTCCACTGCTGAGGCTCTATCCACCTGAAGGAGTATCTAATAGTAACTTATATAAATTATTGTATTAGTACAAAGTGTTATAACAATACATAAAAAGTAGTGCTGGGCAAAGATAAAAATTTTTAATCGCATAGTTATGTGCAAAATTGAATGGATTCTAAAGTAACATAATGCGCACTTTTAATTTAAATGTACTGATATATACACAAAAGTGCAATAACATGCGGTTTGCAAACACAAATAAGGTGCTTTTTACCAGCAGTATTCCCTTTACACAGTAGCAATAAAATATTTCTTGTAAATCTCAACTTAAACATTAATGTATATAAAGCCAAAGTTATTTACCATTGCCAGGGCATTACCTTTTATAGTCCAGAGCCACGATCATATCATAACAGGCACTATATATATATATATATATATAAAAATCTGTTTTTTTTCTTAACAGGTATCAGCAGAAACATTTTTTTTTATCAGGGAGCAGCATAAACAGCTATTTAATAGCAAGTGTCCCTGTTAGAGTGAGGTGAAGTGGTCTCCTCACGCACAAGCCCGCTCGCTGCATAAGTTGAATTGTCTAGAACTTTTTGTACACGATGCAGAGCAAAAAAAAACAGTGGAAGAGACTGATCCTCGCTGTTTGAGAGTTTCCAGAATCTATTACTGTTTTCTAAATATTGTGGAAGTGTATAGGGGACTAATTTCAAATTATCATGCAAACTTTAAAATTAAAATGTAATCCCACAACATTATCATTTTCCATATATGTATGTGTTATTTAGGTAAAAATTTAAATGAAAACGCAATCTTTCAGTTTTCATTATCACATACTTGTGTGGGCATTCTAGGACCATATTAAAATGAAAATGGAAACAGCATTTGACATTTCATTTTCAAAGGCTTATCCTGCTATATAGTGGACTTTATTCAAATGCAATGAGTGAAACAGCGTCCCCAGGCTATTGCATTTACACGTCCATGTCCTCATGGTCTTTTTAACCTCTTAATATTCCTGTAAAATTCATTCAAAATGCCTATTTAAGGCATATCCAAAGTAAACTGAATGTAGTTCTTGAACCGTTTGGAGTATATGCATGGTTTTCACGTATGGTTTATATGCATGAGCTTCTCTGAAAGATAACACTCTGGAGTGTCTAACCCAAAAGTCAGAATGATTGTAAGTGTTACTGGAATTGATTAATATAGTTTAAACATCCTAAAATTAATATATTTTTTGTTTCCGCTTGAAAATGCTTTCTAACAAATGCATGCAGACAACTATAGCTGGGACTTATTAGCTGGAAAACACTGTAGGGACACAGCATAAAGCCTTACCTAGTCCAAATTTAAATTTTACACCAGCTAGATTCCATACACATCCGGTTCAGTGTTCTTAGTGTCGTTTGGCACTACTTCGTATTTATATAAAAACCTGACAAAACTGGACATTGCTGGGAGAAAAGAAAGCAAGGAGGTTGAACTACCTGGCGAGTTCAGAAAACGTGTATGTAACTTTATTCCAGCTATTATTGTACTTTACTATGACCAAGTTAGCAAACCATAGCCCTAATCAATCCGAACTCCATTCAGAAAACAAACATTTTAGAAGTTGTTGTCCTGCTGTCTTGCTGACAGACCTGACAAGGCAAGAATTCATTTGTTTAACAAATCTGCATCATATTATAGTATTCACAGCAAAATGTTTACTTTGGGTTCATACAGCTGTAGAAATGGGGAGTTGTGTTTATTCGCGTTATCGCGTTGTGTGTGAACACTCCAGGGATGTCCAGCGATAAAACCCCCACGAGGAAAGCGTTGCGTAGATTAAATTTGCGTTTGGTCTGAATGCACAGTTACAGCACGGGCTCTTGTTGGCTATTGTAGGCTGTGAAAGAGACATATGAGCTCCTATTGGGTCAGATTAGCTGTCAGGCAAAAGGTCCAGAGTTCAGCGGTTAATTTGAATACAAGCTATCGTAGTTGTTTACATCCAAATCGGAGTTAGCTGGCAAATATGAAACTATGCGGCAGCAGTCAATTAAAGTAAAGTAATTAAAGCGTTTGTGTGTGTGTTAGAAAAATTAAAATATATTAAAAATTAAAATAAATAAATAGATAATACCGTAAACGTGTGTGTATATTAATAGACAAAAATAAGAACAGCATCTGACATTTCATTTTCAAAGACTTCCTCTGCTCTTTAGTGAACTTTATTCAAATGCAATGAGTGAAACAGCGCCGCAGTCTATTGCATTGCATTTACATTTACGAGCAGCTTTCCAAGGGACACAATGCAAATGAAAATGCAATCTGTCAGTCCTCTCATCAAGGCGGGTCTTCAGTTAAGACGTCACTTCCTCTTCATTTGGAAGGCCACTTGTCATGGTTCAGTTGTGTATCTACCATTACACAACACTAGGCTGTAACTTCACAATGAAATGAAATCTATTGAAACAGCTCAAGGATGGCTCTATACTGACTTCAAACTTGGAACCAGTAAGTTTTGCCATTTTTATGTTGCTTTTCTATTTTTTTTTTTTTTTTGAACACTTGCCTTTTGAACTTGGTGTTACCCTGTTCTGCAGCTAATGTGGCTAACTAACATAATGCTGTTTCTGGCGTCTATTGTGACATTAATCCCACACGCCATCGCCTGTATGTGTGTCTGTTGCTGCAGTAGCCTATGTAAGTTTACCTGATAGATGCATGGCACGTGCTGGGCAGTGTCAATCCCAGGCTATTACTTCACATTACAGCAACACTATCATTAGTGACAGGACCACAGCTCCATTACAGTTAATGTTATAGGAACAGTCAGTCTGTCTGTCATATCAACTACATAGCTGTAATAGTTACAGCAGAGGTGTTTCCTGCCAGGCTAACTGAAGACAATCAGGACTCCTCACTCCTCCTCAAGTACAGGTTTGTACTTAGCTGTTGAACTCATGTTATACTGCTATTAACAGTGTTTTTTTGTCGTTTTTTTGTGTATTTTTCTGTAATATAGACGTTATTTCCAACTTTTACCACAAGAGGGAGTATACGGTTTAGTGAGTCATTTAGGAGCAGTCTGCGACACTAGTGCATTGCTGTAACGTGAGTCTGTCACGCTCTGCCGGTCGGCCATTCTTTGTGTTGCACTTTTGAGTTTAGTATCTGCCTTATAGTATGTTGAGTTTTGGGTTCTGTCCTGTCTTGTGTCCAGTATCTGCTTTATAGTCTGTTGTGTTGTGAGTTTCTCTGAGTTATTGTTTGGTCAGTTCATTATCTGTTATTTAGTTGGTCTTTGATTCCATGTCATGTTCTTAGTCTTGTACTTTAGTTCATGTCTTTAGTGTTTACTCCTGGTCTTGTGTTCTCTATTAAGCTCTGTACTGTGTTCTGATATTTTGTAACATGTGCGTTTCTGTGTTGTCGCTTATTCACTCTGCCCCAGGTCTGCTTGTCATGTCAAGTCTCTCTGTTTGCTCTCTCTCTCTCTCTCTGCCTCTGCCTGCCTCGTTAGCCTCATGTCTGTCACCTGTGTCGCTCCCGCCCTGCTCGTTAGACCCTGTGTATATATACCTGGTGTTTCTGTCTTGTCTTTGTCCGGTCATTGTTCATGTTACCCCCCAGTCTGTTGTGTGTATACTCTCTGTCTTCCTGTAGCCAGCCTTGCTCGTCTTGTCACCCTGTACTTTTGGATTTCTGTTAGGATCACCTTGTTTTTGGACTCTGTTAACCAGCCACTCTAACAGTAAGTGTGCTCGCCTTTTGTTGTTTTTGCCACAATAAATCTTCTCGTTTCACTGCACCACCTCTGCCTTGCATCCTGCATTTGGGTCCTCCAACCTGCCTCCACACCACCCATCGTGACATTGTCTGAACAGACAATGTGCTGGTTAACAATCTACCGATCTGCTTGTGTATGTTGCAGGTAAGCGGACATAATATATCTAAGGAAGTGGATGTAAATAGTCGTGTAGGAAGAGGAAGTCTTTGAAAATGATGTCAAATGCTTTTTTCATTTTAATATGGTCCTAGAATGCCAACACAAGTATGTGACAATGGAAATTGGATGATTGCATTTACATTTAAATCTTTACCTAAATAAAACATACATATGTGGAAAATGATGATGTTGTTGTGGGATTTCATTTTCATGTTTGCATGATAATTTGAAATTAGTCCCCTATACCCTTCCATAAAATGACATCAACAGGAGGGAATTTGCATGGCAAAGTATCCCCACAAAACAAGACGAAGGACGATCAGGTAAAGTTATGTATAATTTTAAGTTAAACAGGCTACAGCTGTTTAGCGCACAGAAGCTGTTGCCATGGTTACCATCCATAGACGAGGTAAACAGGTTAAAAAGCGGAGTTTCCCTATCAGACAGTCAGAACTGAGAAAGTCTCTTGGGTGAGTTACGAAACGTCTTCTATCTTCAACCAAGTCCAGTTGTCCTAGATTTTAACGTTCTTTGGATAAGTATGACATGGATGACTTAGAAACTTCAGACATAGCATGATGTACGGTGATCTTTATCACATCCTCTGAATGAGCTGGACTGGTGAGCAAAGGATCACCTCTTATAGATCAATGTGTCCTCTGTGTCTCCTTCACTGCCGTAAAGGGGACCAAAGATAATTGCAGAGTCAACAGACATCTAAAGAAGCATTCCATATAAAAACAACCCATAACATCTCTCACTTCTGTTAGTTCTGCTACCAGAACTAGTTGTTCTGCTCTATTGATTTCACTTCCACCGTGTGCCGAAACTAGAATCTCTTTTTGTGGCTTTGTTGCAATGTAAAAGAGTAACACTGTCAGCCTTGCAGTCTCGTACATAGAGCCGACAGACAAGTGTCATCAGTAAGGTGGTTGTGTTTGAGGTCCCACACCTCAAACTCAAAATCTGACTCTGATCCTTTA